ACTTTTTATGCTTAACTTTTCTATCACAATATATGGTCAAGAGTAATCAATACTTACATTTCAATTACTATTGGTTAAAGGGGGGGAGGTATTATTAAAAATAACTGGGGGAAACGATATTATCTTGATATTTATTTAACCTTTAAAGCATAGATGCTTTTTTCTGGACATACTCATGAACAAAGAAACATCTTAATGTAATAATCAAGATACGTGTGAGTCTCTGATATTAAACATATAGTTTACGTACTTTATTTTCCGTTAAATTACTACTTAGTTCAACTTGATAACAACAGGTTGAGTAATAATATGTAGGTTTTACATAAGGCTAAATAAATGAAAATATATAATAAAATTCAATTTATAGATCTAATCTCAAAACGGAAGTCTATAAGAAGTTTATCAAAGACATGAAAAGTAGAACAAATAGTCCTCAAGAGTTTATGATTGTTCAGATCCCATCCTAATCGTGAACAACTCATCAAAAATGGATCGCATTCGATAAATCAATCAACTGGATAAAGGATTAGCAATACTCAAATTAAAATAGACAGTAAAGATTGAAACTAAAAGACGACCGCTCAACATGTAATTTCATTCACATATAGAACTATAAATAACGATATAAATCAAGAAGTGCATTTACTCAAATATCTCAATGAAAACTCAATTGTCGATGAAAGTGCACAGCATGTAGAATTTTTTTCTATTTGTGGTCACCAAATGGTACAGACAAGAAACCTGTCATAAAATCAACTGTATGTATAGTATGTCTAAACAATACTACGTATACAAGTACAGTAAATCGAAAATTTCCTGCTATTTGATAAGATTTGCGTTAATAATGACATTCGAATATAATTACTCTGAAGGAAAAGAAGAGATCAAATTCCTGGTTGCAAGTGGAATTCATAACATTCAAAGTCAACAGTCCGAAATTATTCAGCTCATTTTCAAATTATGGTTTAATTCCATAATATAGTCTTGGTTATATACTACTAAATAATTTTAAATAAGTATTAAAACAATTATCTAATCCTTTCCTTGAATTTTTAATGCTTATTTAATTGATTCTAGTTCATAATGAAAACTAACATTGAATAATAAATATTTACAACAGAGAATTGGACATCGATTAGAGTCATTATAAACGACAATAAAAAGGATTATGCTTTATATAATGATAGAAAATAGTTTCATTTTCAATATTGAAACTTTTGTAACTATACTATTTCGAATATGGACTATTATATATACTTGAGGATTGTATTTCAATACACGATATTACCACAATCTACTAAATATAAACATTATTAATCTCTGTATCAAATATCCAAAATATTCTAACTTGTTTTATTTTTATTGTTGTTTTACTTTATAATAAACTTTTGATGGAGTTTTGTTCTCTGAGTAGGATGTTTTGGTCTTCACAAGCATGTTCTACCAACAAGTGTAAGATACAGACCTCCAATCAACTGCCCATTGGGATGGAAAATAGCTGAGCAAAGTAGTGGGAGAAAAATGGTACACCTAATGGTAACGGATACACATTACAGGATACGCAAATACCAACACATCATAGAGGACCAAAAGATGAAGCTACAAAGAACACTCACGTCAGAACATTTGGAAATCTTGACAACAACCATCGAGATATCATGCAAACGACACAGCGAACAAAGAAGAAACATCCTAAGGAAGAAACTAATCAAGATCTCAGAACTATCTATGGAAGAAAACACAAACAACTGCGTGATCAACCTGTCAAAACAACCACTAACAAATATAGAACACCTACTCCGAAAGGGATTAAACTACAACACAAGCGACGCGTCAAAACTGGAATTCTTCGCAGCACTAGAGTCATCACTTAGAACTTCCGGAATACGCGACCAAACCATCCAGCTCAGAGAACAAAACTCCATCAAAATCATTCACTTGAGCTACAAATCTTCTCCACCATTTTATGATAAACTCTTTCGTTGTTGACATTTTAATAGCGATATAATAGATAAAATAGTTTTAATCCATTCTAATATTCTTACAAGATTATTAATGTTAGTAAATAAATCATTATTATTTAGATTATGGATAGAAATAAATAATTTTGAGATAATAAAGAATATTTGTAATTCAAGATTATGATGTTAAAGATGTTGTATTGCATAAATCATCTTGTTCAATAAACATAACATCAGCAATATACATATAATTACAATATAATTGTAGATTTTTGCAGAAAACAAAAAAAAAATTAAAAAAACACAGAAATGAGATGGTGGAGAAGATTTGTAGCTCAGGTGGATGATTTTGGTGGAGTTTTGTCCTCTGAGCTGGATCCATCCATCTCAGCTCAGAAAACAAAACTCCATCAGCACAGAAATGAAAAAAGAGCAGTTTAATTGAATTATTTCCTTCCAAATCTTACAATATTAATTAATCAGTATTAAGAGAGGGTAGTATTTTGTAGAAAGTTTTTTGTTTAATTCCAGTTAAGGAGTGACATTAGAATTCCATTCATATTTCAGATACTATAAAAACATCTAAGAACAATAAGAGCTGCATTAATGAGGTAAAATTAGATTAACTGAGTTAGTTCTTGAACAAGAATATCGCTAAAAGATTTAAATCCCCAAATGCCCTGGAAATGGCGAGGTTGGTTTCAGATGGACAAGCATATATAGCTACTACCAAATATGTCCTGCTCATTCCCTACTCAAGGCATAGGACTTTTTACAAAATTGAGAGGACAAAAAGCAAATTTCCAGTGATTGAACCGGGTTGGTGGGTACGGAACACTTACCAAGGGGAGTTGGAAAACCCTGGTTCCAAACCAATGCTCCACATAGGCTACAGGACCCTGAGGGACCAAACGAGATATGAACTTATTCCTCGTCACCACCTCGTTCTATGAGATCGTATAGCCTAACGTTGTTCAACTGTTCCGTGGATTAAGGCTCGAGATCAGGCTTGGGGTGGACTCCAAAGAAAACCACCTGCTTCGGTTTGGACACCTGGCCAGTATTCCAGCACACACGCAAATCTAGTGTGGAGCATATATATTTTGGTGCAACTTCGCACCAATACTTAAGTGTTTAAACAAATAAATACAAGATTTGGAAAAATTGTTCAAAAACCGAAATCTGTAAATATCCACAGATCAGCAACCTTCAACTCTCCTTTTGGGTATACCTACAACTACAACATTTTACTTTATTTTAAGCGGTAGAAACCAGGTTTTTGTCTATTTGACCAATGAAAAGTCAGTCAGACAGTCAGTACCAACGTGGAACTTCGTACGTACGTACATCAGTTCGAGTTCTCATACCACATTAGCACACAGATACAATTGTAAATTCAAATTCCGTAGTGGTAAAGGCAGTAAAGGTATAAGCAGTAATCGGAAAGATTAGGGTTTGAACATGTTATTCAAGGAGTATAATACAGTGAAATAAATTTGGAAAGAGAAAGAGAGAAGGGACATGAAGAATTCAGAAGATTAGAATTTGGGAGAACACAAAGAGTGGATGCACCTGTGCGATTGCAAACGATTTGGAGTCATTTCACTCAAGGTCTCTAACTATCGGTTGGTATCGTCTCGCGAATCCCAACCAGGTAGTCTATACGTACTAACATGGCTCAGTCCACTTGCCAGTGACTTCATGGATTTGTGCCATGTTTTGGTCTGGCCGCCCCTAGCTTTCTTCCAACCTATTCCTACACTATAAAGCATAGCTCATCGGGACAGTCGGTGGTTGAAACGAACACAGAACTATAAAACGGTAAACTGAGATGGAGAAAACGAGAAGATATAGATTCCAATTTATATATAACTTACGTCAAACAAATTGTGGAAGGTAAATTTAGTATTTAGATAAAATCTAGTTTTAAAATTAAATTCGTAGATTCTGAACTGACATGAAAGAATGAATAGTAGAGGTAAACGACAATAAAAATTCCCAATAATCTTGTAAAATAATAAGCGTCCTGTGGAGTTCAGCCAGAAATATGTTACGTACTATCGTTTCTGATATAAACAGGTCATACAAACAACAGAATGAATCTAATGCAGCAAAATCTTATTCTCTATCTACTCTTGAAAAGATAAATTTCTAAAGGTGAATAAAATTATTTCAACAAAATCACCCAAAACATTACAAGGTATTGAACATAATTAGAATATTATGCATTTGGTTTACTCTATAATTTTGCAGTTACTAAGTGATTCATTCGCCAGGTAAAGTTTTGTATATCTGACTTGAATATTTATATCCCCTGCCTAAAAATGACTGAAGTGTTCTAGCTTCGATGAACTGGTGTATGATTGATATTACGTCCATTTTCATTTATAATTTATTGAAATAAAAAAACTTTGATCCTAAGGGTTCCTATGACTACATCCCAGTGATGGAGGGACGATATGACATAAAATGTAAAATCTAAGTAAGACGTAATTTCTACTGCAATAATACGACATTTTTAAATGCTTCTAAAATTGATTACTTGTTAGTAGGCAAATTTGCAAAGGGAAAAATACAACTATCTAGTAGAAGCATAAATGACAACCGGCCGCTAAAAACTGTATTTCGGGATCAATTACCATTATTTCTATGATAAGCTCTTAGGCTGACACACATTTACTGCTTTTCAACCTTAAAGGTAAATTTTTCAGTACCAGTTTAGTCAAAATCTCTACTAAATTTATAAGCAAACTAACATTGAATACCAACGTCAAAAACAATCCCCGGGTATACTAGAATATTTTAGAGATTACTAAGCAATATTTCGTCCACTGGATGCAGCATTAAACAATACAGCATAAAGACTTTCCCAAAGCTTTCAATATGTTCTATTGATAAATGACCCCAACACTATAAAAACACATAATATATTAATATCATAGAGTTGTATATAAGACATTGAAATATCGAAAATAAACAAACAACTACAGACATTCTAACATGAAATTTATGAACAAGAACACTTCTTTAGTAGATGAAAATAAGTTTTATTTTTATGAGAGTATCTCTGTATCTATGGTTAAATTTGTTAGATAACAAAATTACTTTCAATATAATGCTTATGATTTACAACAATGTCTATCCAAGTGAAATGAGAAATTATGACGTCGAATATGATTGGGATTGATTTGTGCATATAAAGTAATACTCAAGTAGACTTTTTCTTGTAATCTTTAATAGCAGCCTGGATAGCATCTTCGGCAAGCACTAAATATCAAACAGAAAAATAAGAGAAAATACTCGAACCAAAGAAAATTTTAAAAACATAGCGAAGCAAGAATGTGTAGACACCTATATATATATATATATATATATATATATATATATATATATATATATAAACTACCAAGATCAATTTTCAACCATGTCAACTTGAACTATAGCTTACAGCTACCCGACACTGATCAAATAGGCAATCAACTGTTTCATAAACTGGTGCCAAGTTTCGGTTTGTCAGTTTCCAATCTTCTGAAGTTACTCATATCCCAGTCAACATTACACGTTGAAATAGACAGCAAATAGACACCTTTTTAATAAATCCAAGCTAACTAAGTTGATAAAGATTTACAGAACTCGAATTTAGTGAGTAATAAAGATTTCACCAACTTTGAAACTTAATTAGCCTTGAACAAAAGAAACATTTTTTGATAAATTTACAAAAACGTACCATTCTTGAATTGTCTTAGGATGAAGAGATAGAGATTTAACTCCAAAGAACAGGTATTGTTATGATAAACCCAAAGTGATGCAAAGTTTACTTCGTCCTCATTTTTTACACACACCACAAGCTATAGAGATTCGAGCTAACAATCCAATTCATAAAATTTACTTAGGTTGTGCTACTTATTTGTATGTTTTGTAAAGAAACGCTACATTCAGAATAGGTTAACAAATAATGAACGTAAAATTAATTGGTGCTGACTTACTAGAACAGTGCAATTTGACAGGTGGAAGTTTTAGTTCTTTGGCAATATCACTATTTTTTATTTTTGCAGCTTCATCAATTGTTTTGCCTTTAACCCATTCAGTTGCCAGTGAACTGGATGCAATTGCGGAACCACAACCAAATGTTTTAAACTTTGCATCTATTATTTTCCCATTTTCATCCACCTGAAATTAAAAGAAATGCACCAAGAATAGATTTTTACGTGTGAAAACGAGATTTAAAAAGGGAGAATAGTTAAAATACCTGGCATCTCACTACTGTTTAAACATATATATAAATTTTACGGAAATATAGTAAATAGTTATTAGATTAAAAATGTGAGGTTCGAATTTCCTATTTTTGTCTAGACAACAGTTTAAACTTGAAAAATAAATCTATAACAGTACCTGCCTTCCGTTGCTGATCATTAACTCCACACAAGTTTACAAAAGTTAACACTGAGATATAAACGAATCTTTTCGTCTGATAGTCAACCTTCTAGTTCCCTGTTTTTACAAAGTCTGACAAAAGGATCAGCAATGTTGGGATCGTTAGGAATTATTATGAATTATTTAAAAAGGATACCAATGGAGACAAGTACTCTGAAGAACTATTCCTCATTACATCAAAAAGCATACATCTTGGTGACGTAAGTCATACTTATGTAGTAAGTCTTGTTTGAAGTATAAATTTGAAAGTGATCATTATCATCATCATAAAATCAAATCTACTTAGCAAATACCTAAAACTGGTGAATGTTGGACGATTATTTCTGACTGAACTACCTCAGTTGTGATTTAGGAAAAAACTACTTCTACAGAACACAGGAAGACGTGCAAGTAGCATGTCATGGTTCATGTAATAACCTATAAATACATACTTAAAAATAGTTTTACCTAGAATGGATGCCTTACCTTTATTTGGAGCTTCATAACATCTCCACAGGCCGGTGCACCAACCAAACCAGTACCGACAGACATGTCTTTCTTATCGAATGAGCCTACATTACGAGGGTTCTCATAATGATCTATGACATTCTTGTGATACGTCAAAGCATGCTGTTTTATACATTTTGTAATAGCTGACTGGCATATCCCGAAACGAGAAGAAATCATCGTGTAAGTTCGTCAATTGACGATTATTGTATATAGCACTAAAAAAACACAAACTAAGTATCGAAAATCAACACAAAAAATGAAGGAGAAAGAGCTATTTGCTGAGATTAAAATATCGAAAAACCTCAAAACGTAGTAAACAATCCCGCACACAAAACACAAACTATAATCCCTTTTGTTGGAATAAATTAGAGAAGTTGAAGTTATCTGCCTTAAAAATTCATAAAACGCTAAATAATCGTACGTGAAACAAGAACTTTTGAATAAAACTACTGAGTCGATGCTGGTGATGTCATCAGCTACCGAGGTATTGTATTTAAGCAACTAATTGTAATAAGAATGACTGAATAAAGTATATGATGAACGAGTGCATCTATGTTATGAGTAAAAGTGATTGATAGTGAGACGTGATATGTGTTGTTCTAATTTTCACAATAAGAATCTTTAATATTCTAGACGTAATATGGTGAATTTACCTCTTATGAAAGTCAGTAAGTAACTACCATGTAATTTTGGGGACATTCTTGTTTACTCAGTAAAATAGCGAATTGTTACGATGAGATTATCTTACATTACGTTAGTGAATGTATCAAAACTTGAAACTAATTCTCATCATTATTTTCGATAAATAATATTTATAATTATTGCCAAGGTTTGTCCAGACTTCCAACAAAAATACATCAATGATCGAATTCTGTTGGTCATTATCAGGAACTAAACAAACACGACCATGATTAACACTCAGAGATAGACAAATGTAAATATATTAGTCCTGCAGGGGGGCTATCAGAGAAGTAAATAGCTCGTAGGTAATTTTTCTGACTAGCACAGGTTGACTAAGGGTTCGGATCAAGAGAAGAGTAATATTTTCCTCAGAATTTCAAGACCTTACCGATAAGTCTAAATTAGCAAGAAACATGGGCTCAGAAATTCCTCCTGATAGTCTTTAGTCATGTAGTATCAAGGTACGAAAGATGTGCTTTGCGATCAGATTGAGTTATCAACTTAACCGCTGGGAAACATAAACATACAACTCGAAAACCACACACAGATCTGTGCAATAAATAAAATTTAGATGAATAATAATATTACACAGCTATGAAAATTATTGTTGATACCCTACAGGTTTGTAGTCACCAAGTATAAAGTCGCATTACCCAAGGCCTGGTAGATAACGCAAGAATACGACAACCCGCTACAGTTTATTAACAATTTGGAAACTGGCAATCCAGACTGATTTCAAGCTCCTTAATTTCTATACTATGATCAGTACTACCCAAAATTCTGACAAACAGACATAACGGTAAAAAAGCAGTGAAAATAGGATTAAACAAAGATATTGATAAGATTAACCAAAAGTGAGGTAAAGTTTAAATCCTATATCGTTAATATTTCTTAACGATATTTTGATGTCTGACTAAATTTTGAAGGACATTTTTACCCAAAATCATAACATTCTATAATAATTCCGATTGCTCTTAGTGCTATAACTTGACGAACTGGCGCATCGGTCATCCGAATCCTACATCTCACCGGGATAGGTGTTAGTAGTAGTCTTGTGCTAGACGAATAGTGTCACCAAAATGAACTTAACCTCTGAAGGAAATCCTTCAAACCTTCCTGGAATTGTCACTGTTTATTCCACTGGCCTCAACAAAATGAACGGTGAGTGTGGCGATTCGCTTCTACGCAGAAGGTACTTTGTGTACAAAATGAACATGCAGAGTAGCGTGTGAGGACTACAAAGGTGTGTCGAAAATCCAACAAACGCATGAAATGCAATTACACTTAAAACCAAAAGTAATCGACAACAATCAGCAGTGACACAAGCTTCACATTAAGACGGTCATAGAATCGAGACTCAAAGCAGTTAGTTTAGCCGACTAAACTTCCGATTTCAGTGTATTCCTAAAAAGAACCGCAGTTTCCTTTAGACCGAAGGAAATTTTTAGGTTATTAGACTCATTTTTCAAAAACATATTATAGGTATTTACCCAAAGTGATAGAATTTTCCCCAATATTGAGGATATATATTTGATATATTAAGGGGGATTGGGCCGCTACAGTAACGTTACACAAAAACCCAAGAAGTGAATAGATAAATGTCAGAAATGAAGAGCAACGATATTTCCGCTATAAAATAATACTGTATAGTAACTTCCTTCACTACAGAGACAAGTAGTCAGCTTCACATGAATTCATACGAAACTGATTATTTGAGGGAGCTTTCAGGACCAGTTTGTATTAAATACCCCATTATTATCTCCAAAGAGAGTTCGAGCCCTTTTCAGTTCTGCTAACTGCATGGCCCGTATTACTGAACACAAGCGAATAGTCACGACTTAACAGATCATGCATACCGTTACGAAATGTTCAAGGAACGCACCCTTTTTCAATGATGAATATTCTGACCTGTCTTCAGTCTTCAGTCATAAGGATAGAATATCTGCCGACCTGTATTTATCCCTGTAGTTGGAAATACGGTAAAGTTCTAATCTCTTTTTTAATATATTAACAGAAGGTGCTGATATTGCACGTCCTGGTAGAGAATTCCAGTAATTTACTACTCTGTTCGAGAAACGAGACTCCAGGCGTAGACGGTTTGATCTTGGTTTTTGGACTTCAGACTACGTTCGGAAAGGACTTTGATCTGTTTTACCCTAGCCTCAAATTTGAATTGCATGCGGTGAGTTTTGGCATCCACGTCAGTCCACGTTCGAGTGCGCCCTTCAGCTCATCTCCTTCAACAAATGGTCAGTCTGATTTACATTGCAGAGGTATATAAATCCTCAAAATAAATAGTTGCGAATGTCTCCGACAATAATACTCACCTCAGTAGTTTTACTGGACACACCCTAGCTGAAGGCTATCGGTCACATAACCTCACCAGATCTCAAGCGCGTACATTGTGGTGTTTGAATGAACTAATGATTCCTTTGTACTTGTTGAATGCTTGATTTCGAATTCTAAATACAGTACATTCGTTTGTGGTTATCTAGTACTTCTTAATCCGATTACGATATTTCTGGGATTCTTAGTTCATACTATAATTCGAATACTCCTGATTTTCATGTACATCGTGCTACACATCCCTTTCAACTACTAGTTAGTTTAGGACAAACGCTTCTGGACATATCAACAGATTCCCAAATATGTCTTCAAACCCCTCTATTTCCGACTTCTGATTTAGCCAGTTTGGTGTGCTGTTGGTAGGGTGTTACGCGTAAAGGCGTTGTCAAACTCCGAGTACCTGTTGGATCTTTAACATATTGCTCGACTCATCGACCATTTTCCAAATGTGTCTCCGGACCGTTTCACTTCCGTCTCGTGGTTTGAGTGGCTTTGAGGTAGTCGTAAATGAGTTTGGTTTCTGATTCTTATTTGAAATCCTTTCTCACTGACGTAGTTTATGCAATATTATATTTAGACCTAAAAGTCACGAAATAAGAGATTTATGGATTCCTAGATATAATCGACGGACAAGAGTTAACCTAACTTCTCCGTGACGTCAACAAGGTTTGGGGATGAATATGCTATCAACCTCGCAATGATAACTACCTGAGGGAAATTCGATGAAGCCGTTTTGAAAACATTGTAGTGTCTAGTAATAACATACACATGCATGATCCATCTTGTCTTCTGAACAAGCTAAAATAACTCGTATCACTCAGGACAGTGACAAAATATTATGTGCTTCTACGACACGAACCAGAGTGGCATTTGTACGAAATATTGATTAATTTTTGCTTGATGGCCCATTGATTTCGAATTCCAAATATAATACGTTCATTTGTGCCCATCTAGTTTTATTTGCTTTAAATTGCACTGTTTCGGGAATTCTGAGTCAGTACATTGTTTCAAATACTTATAATTACTACATTGGCTTTGCAATGGAGCCTGTGATTGGACAGCTGGATATACATTCAAACTCTGAAGCTTTCGATGATTACATAGAAAGGTTTGAAATCTGGAGTATGAGCAGGAAGGATATTAAGGATGATAAAGTTGTTGTTCGTTTTTTCCCATTCATCGGGAGTGGTGACTAAAGCTCACTAAAATCGCTAGCATTCTTAGACAAGCCCATTTCACCTCCCTACGCAATTCCCGATTAACTACTACTCAATCATGTGAAGTGCATTAATTTCGAATGCTATGAAAGAACGTCAAAAAGGTTGGAGACGTTTGTTTTTTAATTGAAGAAACAGTCCGTCAAGTGTGATTTTGATGACCAACTTCAAGTGCATCTGCGTGGTGGGTTGTTTTCTAGGATAAATGATACGAATGTATGACGATAATTAATTCAGAAACCGAAATGAAAAAGCATATATTACATATAAGGCAGTCAATGAGCTTGATTTCCAGTCAGTGAAAATTTATAATACTTCGCACAGCACCGTGATGAACCATACTCTCAGGATCATTCAATCTCATGCTTGTTTAATGATGGTTCTCATTCTCGTGGAAATGTGAAAAATGATTTATCAAATAATTGCAAGGCAGATTACACAGTTGATCACAGGTTTGGTAAATGCTCATGCTGTGGTAAATTTCACTCACGTAACTCATATATTTTTTCATGTCAAATGCTTTAATTGTGATAAACAGAGACATATCAAGTCGGTCTGTAAATCTACTGTCAACTTTTCTACTAGTGGTGTCGAATCTTGTAGTTTCAGTTTTATAACGTTGAGTGTATCCAATTGTCGTTTATCTTTATTCACGATTTCGGAAGGTAATTTCCATAATCTGAAGCGATAATATACCTCCCTGTTACCATTCCATGACTCTGTTGTTGACACGGGCAGTATAGAGTCAAATATCCGTCCAGTCAAACGAATCCTCGTTAGCCTTGTATAACTCTGAAATTGAACGGACTTATGTTTCAAGTGATATTCATTGAGTTGGCTGCTAAGCCTGCTAAGCCGCAAAAGGCACTGTTGGGCAGAATACAAACGAACTGACAACAATGGAGCGTACAAGAAATACAAACATAGAAGGAACATATTCACGAAAGCTATAGGAGAAGACAGGCTTCAGTACCAGACAAAGATTATGGATAAATTTGTCTCTAATCTGAAAAGCCTATTCCGTTATGCAGCCTTTCTTTGTCAAGCCAAAACTGGAGTTCCCCAACTGCTAGGTCCTAACGGCCCGACTAATAACGACCGCGACGCCGCTAACCTTTTGGCTGAACAGTACTCTCGGACATTTCTCTTTTTTTTCTTCTTCAGAAATTCGCTCTGAGGGCACAGCTATGAAACTTCTGACGTCTGGAACAAACTTGAAGTACGTATCTCCTCAAGGTCACGGTTTACAGCAAGCGCCCTACGAGTCTACTTTGTAACAACTATAAACTTAATAAGTTGCGAAGCATCTTGTGAACCAACAAGTGTTGTAATTTGTAGATCATGCCTGTAAAAATGGCGTGTACCTGCGCATGCAGAAATATATATTATTATTATTATTAACTATACTGAGGACAGCTTCGTCTGAAACTATACAGGACTTTCCGTGGTAAACCTGGGCGCTGACTTGGTGTTCCGGAAACTGCAGCACCTAAGAAAAGACATTTCTCATGGCCCAGATGTGGTTCATTCTGCTATACTGAGGGGAGCAGGTTCAATCCTGGCAACGCCACTTAGCGTAATGTTCCCACACTCCATAAGCCGAGGCAAACTACCGTAAAATCGGAAGCTGGCTCACATCACACCAATTTTCAAAGGAGGTTGACGCAGCAAACCTTCAAGTTACCGACCGGTGACTCTCCTCTCTATACCTTCAAAAATCATGGAGTCCCTGATATGCGATGGTATAAATGACTATTTACAGTCCTTAAATTTCTTTTCACCCCAACAGCAAGGTTTCAGGAGGGGTGACTCTTGTATAACCAACCTGCTGACTGGGGTGGACAGATGAACAAGCATCCTTGATCGCAAGTGGAAGGTTGATATCATTTACCTTGATTTCTCAAAAGCTTTTGATAGGGTCAACCATATATATCTTATCAATAAGCTCAAGAGATTGGGTATTTGACCACCTCTAATTGATTGGCTCACTTCATATTTGAAAAATCGACAATTTAAGGTTAGGGTTAACTTCACTTTATCTCCGGCTATGGAATGTCCTAGTGGAGTCCCCTGGGGCTCAGTACTAGGACCCCTACTCTCCTTGATCTATATAAGTGATCTTCCTCAACAAGTAACGTCAGACTTATTACTTTTTGCAGATGACGTGAAACTTTGGAGAGAGATACGCAACCAAGACGATATACGAGCACTTCAGGAGGATCTGACTCGACTTCAAAGTTGGGCAGACAATAACGGAATTACCTTTAACACTTCAAAGTGTAAAGTAGTCCACGTAGTATTTCCTCCCTCACTCCAAAAGGATAAGGACACTCTGGAGCGTATCCAACGGTGAGCCACGAAGTCAGTTCAAGGATTCAAATTCAAACCTTATGAAGAGCGCCTCCATTCACTAGACTTTTACCCATTAGAGTATAGGCGTCATAGAGGTGATTATCTGATGGCTTACAGTATCCTTAACACTTCTGGACATCTTAAACACCTACTTAAGCTTAGTCCCAATACTAAGCTAAGAGGTAACACCCAGAAATTGGAGACACAACATAGCAAAACGGAATGTAGACATAACTTCTACTCCTTAAGAGTTGTCAAATGCTGGAATTCGCTGCCAAGCGAGCTAGTCCAAGCGACTTCCCAGGAGTCCTTTAAAAGGCAATTTGATCCTTTCTTAAGGTCTAAGGATATTATCATACAATAATTTACCAACTTCTGTTTCCTCTTTTATCGTCAATATACCTAGGTTCCTGCCTGGAGGTTGATGATGTCACAGGTATTCAGTGTTTGACAACGCTTCTACCAGTAACACCTTCTAATATATTTCGTTCCCGCCCAGAGAAATCAAAAGACAGAGTCGAGGAGATCGGAAGAGTATATTTGGCGATGACCAATATATCGGAATTCTCTGATCTAATCTGGCTAGCGATTGCGGTTGATGTTGAGCACGGCGTTACCACACGTGATCTGGTGCAGATGCCTGACCGAGCGCCTTCAGCTAGGTGAGTCCACTAAAACATATGGTCAGCCTCCAATGTCGAAAACTTAGTGCTATTTATTTTGGGGATTTATTTACCGCTACAGATCACTCCCCCCCCTAGTGGGGCAGTGACGACCCTAAGACGTGGCCAGCCATAAGTTTAAACCCAACGAGTTTGTCGTTGGTAAACACTCTTCTGATAGCTTACTAAATTTAGCAGCGTCTGGTCGTCTTTCCTTACTATGTGGGACGGAGGTACAACATAGTAAAAAAAAGAAAATGTACATGGAAAATTTCGGATCCTCATAAACGTCATCGTTCTT